CCGCGACCCTGTCCCGGATAAGCAGAGGAAAATGGATGGATGGATGGATGGTTGTAATCTGAATTTTTCAGAAACAATCTGTGCCAAGCCTGAACTAATTACAACACTGAATAACACTGTCTGATACCATGGAATTTGGACAGTCCATTGAAATGGTGAAACTGTGTTTGATGACTAGGTAACAAAAAAGGGAATGATTCTGGACAAAGCCTCAGAGTTGAAAGAATGGCTGTTCACATTTGGATCTGCTCTCTTGAGTGGTCCTCATTTTTTAGCAGATGTTTTGAACTTGGAAGTCAGTGTTGTGTTTGTGCATGTGACTTCAAAAGGTGATGTGTTTCCATGCCGATGACATTTTTGTGGCACTTGTGATGAAAAGTATGACTTTCTAAATAAGCTATATACAAATAAAAACAACTATTGTGGTAGAAATTTAATGTTGAAGGGTATAACTTCCTTGCTTAATCAAACAAGTAGACTGCCACCCTCAGACTGTTAGTTTAGAAGCACAGAGTGTTTGCAGCATGACAAGAAAAAATGCATGTGTTTGTGTGAAAACTGCAGCAATTGGACATTCAGAAAGGAGCGGAAGTAAACTTTGAGTTTCTGGGAAATGAGAGACACAAAGTGTCAACTGTTGGTGTGGAGTATAAAGATGTGAGACACTGAGAGTTGGATGAACACTGGTAAGAACAGTTCTTGCTATGCGTGTGGCATCGGCATTAATAAAGTGTAACAATACTGTGACTCTAGATCCTCTGTTTTATGGTCTGGCTGAGAATTACCGCAGTGCTATTTTGCTAATTCTGCTGCCTGTATTATAGTATTAAAAGAGCCCTGCAAGATAATGCATGACAATAATAGACTGACTATCATTTCCTCAATGTCAAACATGGCTTGCAGGAAGAACCAAATCTGTCTCTAGAGATCTTTAATAAACAAGCATTTCTGTAAGAAGTTGGAAGCAAAAACAAAAGCAAAAATATACTTAAATATTTGTTTTTTTACATCTGGACTGAATCTGACTCAGAACTCAGAGTTGATCATGGAGCTGTCTCCCAGGTCTCGGACAGAGTGACCTATCGTCTTTATATTAGCTCAGGTCCAGTGGTCAGTTTCACTGATATCTCACTGCTCCTAAAAATAAAAATAAAAACATTGAAATCCAGCACCTTTTATACAGCCAATCTGGACTGCTGCAACCATAGATGTATGACACCCTAAAAGGCTTTATAATGGTGTGCAATTATGTGTGTGTGTACATAATGTGTGCTTGTGCAATCTTTCTTCCACCCAGATAATGCTTACTCTAATCATTTTTACACCAAGGGACCTGTGCTAAACAGGACTGGGGAGAAGAAAAAGCCTGCTCATGGTTAAATAATGAGTGCATCACTGAAGTTCCTCTTTGTTTTCTTTGATTGCTGTGAAAGCAACTATTCTGTGTCCCCAGCCAAAAGTCAGAGATTGGGCCAGAGAAGCATGGTCATATCTTTAAATGAAATAAAGTTAGAAAGGTTGAAATAGAAACAGAGAGAGGAAATAGGAAAATATAGCAAGAGTGGGTTTGTGTGTACAGGCTGTCAAAAAGTCTATTAAAACACAACCATGCCCCAATGCTGCATCAGAATACATTAGAGTACATTAGAATACATTAGAGGATTTAAAAGCAAGAGTTGCACTATTAATGCATCTGGACAGCAAAATCCTCCATAATGATATGGGCAGTATAAACACTCTCTCTCACTCTCTGTTTCTCACACTCCCCCGCACACATGCTCATATACATAGCAGCAACAAGCACAGCATACACATATTCCTGTCCTGCCTGAAAATGTGACATTATAGTGGAAGAGCAATGAACATCTGTCAAATCATATTGTTCAAGGTCCCACAGAGACCTACAGTACTGTACATCAAGAGGAGAAACACACACAGACTGAGCAGAAGAGAAAAATGGCATAGCAGGTTAAGCTAGAGATGAATCTCATGACATCTCTAGGGTGGTTTGACTCAGTGGATGCAGCCACCAGCAACAAACAGCTTCATAGGATGATGATAATAATGAGCTCCTCTACATCTCAGCTGGCTGTTCACTGCTGCTGTGCCATTAGCTCATCCAATCAGGACTATGTGTGTGTAGGAGTCAGAGTCATCAGATCAGAGTGAAGAGAAGGATTCCAGACGGACAGATGGATAATAATAAAAACAAAATGAGAGAGAGGCGTGATGTGGAGGAAAAGAAACCACTAGCAAAGACAAGGTCTTCCAACAAACTGATAAATGATGAGTAGAGATGCATACAGAAATAAACAGCACAGGGGGCAAAGGTACAACAGCAGATGATAATATCTGACTGGGAAAGACTGAATTTAGAACAAGAGCACAGAAGATTAAATGATGGGAGAAATTCTAGAGGGCACACATTGAGAAACAAGACAAAATCTGCTTATCAAAGTTGAACCTAGAGTTCTGCTCATTCAAACATCCCCAAGTGATATGTCATACATTCACACACCCCCAAACATACAAAAAAACATGAACAAACTTAAACAACAAACAAGCCTGCCCACGCAGGAACAGACCAAAAATGCTGCTACAGTAGATTCTGAAACTCAATACTTCACTTTTATTCTCCAGTTACTATGGTAGTGGTTGGTGATGCATCATTACTGGGTTGCCATGGGCAAATTTCATAGGGGCAATATCAATTTCAAATGGTGCCTCCCCCCTCTCTGTATGTGTGGAACCTCTGACGCCACAGGAGCTACAAGGCTGTTATGAAGAATTTAACTTTCTTGTTGTAAATTGAAACTCCACACATCAATAAACACCTACTCACATACTATACAGTACTGTATGGACACACCAACAGGCATAATTAAATGACTTAGGTGACACGTGTACAGACAGACTGTATATAGCAAAGTTTTCAGTGGCTGAAAGAGCTCACTTTAAGAACAGTGGGAGAAAAAACTGTAGAGAAAAACCTAGAAGTAAAAGTGTCTGCATTCGTAGCTGAGGCTGTCTTACCTCGATAAGACGGTGCTGTCAGTCTCTGGATTTTCAGGGGCGGGGCAACAAAACTGATGCAGCACAGTCTCACTCCTGTAGAAGGAAAAAAGTAAGCAAAGGTGAGAGGAGAGAGGTGAGGTGAACAGAAATGGAAGGATAGCATGTTAGTCAGGCATTATTGCCTGTAACTAGCTACTTCCCTTGTTTCCATATTCTTTGTCCAACATGCTGAAACATCCTAAAGAGGCTCTCATTAGACTCATCTGGATTATTTCCAAGGATTCTGTTTACAATTTGGCACTGATCCCAGGGTTAATGCCCTATGTAGGTCAATTCAAGTCTGAGAAAGCTTTGAATAACTTTGAGTATTTGTATGATTGCCCGTCCAAATGTGGTTTCCTCTTCCCACTCCTCCAGTTCATCAGATCAGTGGTGGTTTAACAAAATTCTCCAAAACCCAGTGTAGACGGATGGTTACTCCAGCTCTGTTTCCTGCTCTTTCTTTTCTTAAATTTGACTCTCTCTCATTTCTTTCTCATGCATTTTACATTTACATTCATATTTTAGGCATTCCATGGGTACTCTTATCTGGAGCAATTTAGAGTGACAAACCTAGAGAGAAAAAACCTTTGACTTTCTGCATGCACTACCACAGACATCAAGTTTACACATGGTGATCAGTGACACACAGTATAGATACCGGCTTTCATCAAACTCGATTTGACAGTTCTAGGTGAAAGGTTATCCAATCAGAAGCTTTGTTTCTGTTTGTAATGTTCTATAGTGAATAAAACAAATGGTGCATAGAAAGTATAGAGTTGACCAGATATTTAGTTTCAAAAGAGGACACGACAGATGTCCTTGAGTTAGGTTTGAGTAATTGTAGAGGTGTGAGAGAGCTATTTAAAAAAGACACAGCCGCTATTATGTAGTGTGAGATGAATAAAACAAAAATGGACATACAGCTATAACAGAGTAGTGATTTTGCACATTTTTGACCCATGGGGAACATGAGACAACGGATGTCTGAGTTATTTATTGGGGGTAATTATTTAGATGGTAAAAACAGAGCCTATAGCATATGTTCCTCATCACAGAGCTGTGTTTTTTGTAAGAGAGGTGCAAAAACGAGGTAAAACACTCGGACACAAGTCTTACACTTAGTCACTCAGGCTCTCCACACTTTGAGATGAATCCAGGTACCCCGTGAAAAGAAAAAAAGTGATGCAATTTTATTTATTTTTTATGTTTTACAAAAGCGTGTATGTTAACCGAGATCATTTCATTCATATCAGAGGCAGCTTATCGCAGCATTAACGGCACGCGCCCCGAAGAGCAGCTCAGTAAGTATTTTTGCTACGTTTACAACTCTTTGTGTATATATTAAATATATTTTTGATAAAATGTTTTTTATCCCTGGGAGCAGCTATTTTAGAGCATATGAACAAGCTTTACGTGAAGAGCAAACACTCGAGAGAGTAAACTGCAAGGCGACCGGTAAGTTTAAAAGAACCATGTTTAAAATATATATACACACCTTACGTCAAAAAATAAATACTAAGTTCTCTATTCTCTAAAAAAGAAACAGGCGCTCTGCGTGATCAGCAACAGCATCCCCTAACTCAGGAAAGTAAGTATTGGCTGCGGTCGAGCTTGTGTGACTATATGTAATAATAACAGTTCTCACCTTGTGTAATAATAATAACGTTTTCAACTCAGTTCCGGACTGCGTGCTGCTTCAATACTCTGAGGGCTCCAACGTTGTCCCCCAAGAAGAATTTTCAGCTGACCAAGATACGTAATGCAGCTGCATACAATTCGCTAGACAGTGGGGAACAACAGAACCAGGACACGGCTGAGCCTCAACGAGCCCTGGAACAGCAGCAGCGTCAGCAAGAGGGGCCAACAACTCCCCAGCCCGAGGAAAATAACCCCCGTCGGGTAAAAGTCCAGCGTCCTTCTTCTTCAGCTTCCTCCTTTTCTCCCTAATCATACGGTAATGCTATTTCACCCCAGCCTTTATTATTTTTAAGAAACGTGATGTATTCAACACCACCCTGGTCATAATCCTCCTTCTTTATACTCGCTCCTTTAGATTCACCTACTCGGAGGAGGAGGCTGTTGGGTAAAATTATTAACAAAGTCATACTTTAAGGTTGATTCTAACATTTGATGAATTAGGAACTTAATTAGTAGAAGATTAACATTAGGCTTGTTGATTAGTCAACCTGTGTGTTTACTTTGCGTATGGTAATTCTATCATAGTTAAGATTTAGTTTAGAGCACACATAAGTTTGCTTACTTATATGTTACAATTATGTTTACATAGTTAGTTGAGTATATCATTCTATGCGTTCACTGAATTCTTGGCTAGTATTTACTGTGTTAGCCAACTGGAGCACTGGTTAACATCAAGGGAGACTG